CAAGTAGATCTTAGTTTGAATTTACTAGATCTTAACCTCTAGTTAACATCTAAAAGAAAATGGCTGCCAGTGTTACTATTAATAATAATTATTGACACTGCCTAAAAGCATCAAAAACATGAATTAATATCGCTTCTATCAGTTCTGAATAATACAACCTTCACTGATCAGCACCGTGCAATAACCGAGAGTGCTTCTGGAGTGCTGCATGGTACATAAAATTTTTCCCACAAACAGAACAATTGAAGCGCGAGACGCCAACATGAGTTTTTCTGTGTCTGTACAGTGTGGTGATGTACAAGAAGGTCTTACTGCAAAAATTGCACTGATATTTTTTTTGCCCATGAGAATCCATGTGTCGCTGTAGGGTCAACTTGCTACAGAAATCTTTGTGGCAGACTGGACACTGGTAACACAGCTTTCCCTTTCTAACAACTCTCTCCACGTCTGGTAAGATTCGAGTAAAGTCATTGTTCAACATCCAGTCATCTAAAGTGAGAAAAACAAAATATAAAAGTTAAATGAACATCTTACAAGGTTACAACTTTTACTCTTGTATTCTTAAGCAATGTGTGTATATATATTATTAACATATACAAAAGTATCTACTTGTTTAAAAGTAGAAGTAAAGAATTTGGAAGGATAGATTTTTCTCTTTATCCCATACTGAATGAACATTTAGCTGGAGTGGAATCCACTAGTTCCTCTTCTGTTCAGACTTGCGAGTACGATGCTGGATGTACAGCTACAGAAGGGTTTGAAATTTATTCAAGAATACTTATGAATATTTCTTAGTTAGGCCAATCTGTAAAAGTCAGAGATCATCACAGGTGATGAAACTTCCAGTAACTTCAGTGATAAAAGAACAACATATGCCACACAACACTGTACAAGTAACTAAAAAGTTAAAACTTAATTCTTCAGCTGCACACGGTTTGGTAGATCAACACAAGAGCAATAATACTAAACTGATGAAGTACTAAAAGTACTCAGATAAAAAAGAACAAAGTTACAGAACTGAAAAATAGATAGGAGCAATCTGGCGACTTTAGCAGAATAAATTCTGATGCCAAATAGACACCCGAGCTGGTAAGATCATTCATTTCTCATTCAATCCCACAAAATCTTTTTGATAACATCTCTTAACTTAGAGGAACAACTGATAAACTAATTGATACGATTGAAAGGTACACTTTAAAAAAAAGTTTGATTCAAGTCTGTTCCCAGCTGTGGTGGTTTGATTCAAGATTGTTTCCTGTTGTAGTAGTGTTTTTGGCAATAAAATCCTATCAAAATTTTTATATATTGCAATAGACTTTTGTGTATTAAAATTGAACATTTGGAAAAATATCTGTAGATAAAACAGTTTTATTAGTGATGAAATATAGAGTAATCAAATGTTAAAATGAATTATTACCATAACATGCTGTGAAATCTATTAACGACGAAAAGACATTAAAATAAAAAATATTGATAATTCTTTTCTCAACTACCACAAAAAGTTTCTGGTTAAACTTCTCTAGGACTATGACAGATATTCAATGGTAATTATTTCAAAAGCTACCACAAAAAGTTTTTGGTGATTTTTTCCTGGACTATGACAAATATTCAACTTTACAAATACACTGTTACATGATGTGAAATGTAATCAGTTTCAATCTGACAGCTGTTGAAGATCAAAAAGAAACGAAAGATAATGAACTCAAAAACCATTTCTACCAGAGAAATGGTAAACTAGTAGCCAGCTACTCTATGTAGCATTACATAAAACAATAACTGCAAAATGCACAACCTGAAAAACGTTTTGTAAAAACTGCATCTTGTGCTGCTATCTTTTAGCAAGAAAATGTATAAATACAAAGAAGTCCAAGCTGCACTTACAATATTACTGCATAAAACTTTGATGTAGATCTTAGAAAGATTGTTAGTTTTTTTATTTTGCGCAAAGCTACACGAGAGCTATCTGCACTAGCCATCCCTAATTTGGCAGTGTAAGACTAGAGGGAAGGCAGCTAGTCATCACCACCCACCGCCAACTCTTGGGCTACTCTTTTACCAACTATAACACCCCCACAACTGAAAGGGCGAGCATGTTTGGTGTGACGGGGATTCGAACTCGCCACCCTCAGATTGCGAGTCGAGCACCTTAACCACCTGGCCACTCTTAGAAAGATAATTATGTCACGTGTTTCTCAAAAGTAGTACAAGAAACTCTTCCCACAGTCTCTACAGTTAAACCAAAACAAGAAATTTACATTGCCTAAAGAAAGAGTTGATGTAAATGATCATTTTGGTGGCATATAAACTTTACCAAAACCTTTTTCACAATGGAAATCCATATGTTGTTAAAAGAGTTATCTTACTACACATACTTTTCTGGCACTGAAAGGTAACAAACAAGTTCAATTTGGAAGTTTCTCCTTTTACATTTTATGGAAACTTGATATTATAACAGCTCTCCAGTGAAATTAACAATAATCATAGACTTTATAAGGTATAAGATATCTTAAGCTTAGAAATAAAACCTACAACAAAGTTGCTTTCAAAACCTAGGCTGTTTATAAAACAGGGATCTTAGAAGATTAAACAGCAACTAGTTTATAGTATAATTACAGGGAAAGTACAATACATAAAACTATCACATCTTCAAAACTACTTTCACCAGAGGTGCACTGATAACTTTAAACTTTATTCAGAAAAATGTAATGTGGTTCAGGGAGTTTAAAAAATGTTATAGACGATGTTCCTTAGATTTTCTATAATTTCCAAACAGGATACCATGCCCATCCCCAACTGAAGCTGCCACAAGTTTCATCTGTTCTAGACAGTTGATCAATTTCCACAGTATCCTACAAACTTATACACGTTTTATTAAAATCATGGATCTTGTAATATAGAAATAGAGAAGAAAATAACAGTGATACTACTTTGCAGGAAAATGAACTTAAACATACAATATAAATACAGTTTTGAGACACCCTGTACCATGGCCACACTTTTCTACATAAATCTGGTGGATTTACTTCCCCTAGGTATAAAATGGGCAATAATAATACAAAAGACAGTAGCTTATCCAGCAACACCATTTATTCAGTCCTTGGTAATGCATTTACGCATATACAAAAATTTGTCAGTTACCATTTTCATCAGAACAGGTTCTATCTGATCTAAAATCATTACATTACAGAAGAAACTTATAAAAATGAAGTTATGGACACATGGTAGCTTTTTTTTAAACAATTTTATTTCATATGTTTTGGTTTGTTTTTATGTCTGTTGGTTGAAAATATTTTTTATGTAATTTTTCAACCTGGATAATAAGTTATGTCAACTAGAGAGTCAGGTCAGAAACCCAAAGTTTCAAGAAAAGCTGTTGCTAATTATTCTACTCCTGACTAGAGAGATGGCATCCAGCAATATCTGCCATTATTTTATGATGTGTCCAAAGCTGAAGATGAATTGCATCTCAAATCCCAGACCTTCCAACCTGCTACTCGATATGCTAACTGCTAAGTTACACACACAGCCCTCTCTAATTTGGAACACTTAGAAAGAGTTATCATTTTTAACTTATGATGACAATTTTTAAACCTTGTGTATAAAAACAGCTGGAAAAACAAATTTCGTACGATACTGATCGATCACACCAAAATATGCTTAACTTTTTATTACAACAGACACTTCCAAGAAAACAAGTGGCACAAAAGAACGTGGACAGAAAAATGAATTTCATTCATCTAATACACATACACATTTATAAAATACACACAAATAAGACATCATTGGCTATGTATTCTTACACAGAGAAATACATCTATTTCTTAAATGCAAAAAATTGTTTCTGCAAAATACTACTTTGAACAACAATCCAATAAGGGCTGAAAATTTTAGTATTTTTTTGAGTACAAATTAATATTATCATGTACTTTTGTTTTTGTTGTTGCAGGATACTGATCTTGTAAAATTTACTTATAGGCTTATGATTAGATTTCTTTAAAAAAGTATAAATTACTAATCATGCACCCATTTTCTTTCCTGTTTAACCATTTTAAAAATTCAATGTTAATATTCAAAAGTTTTTCTTTTGTTCAACTGACAGAGGCTACAACATGAATGACATTACATATTTAAATAGTGAATATTTCCCTTTTGTTAACCTCTCAATTCACATGGAATCTATTAACTGAATGATATGAACTATTTCAATACTGAATATTTTCTTTAACCTATAATTTTATAATCGAAGTATTCAGGGTTTAATGCTATATATATTTCAATATTCAAAAGCTTTTCTTTAATCTCTTCTTTCACAGTGAATCTATTATGTGATGTTAGATATTTCTATATTTAAGGATTTTCCTCTTTTTAACCTTTTACTTAAGACAAAACATCAAGTCAATAATGTCTGATAGGGCTATTTCAATGTCAAACTAGATAATTCTATTTCATTTGTAGAAAACAAAGTATTATTCAGTCTGGAAAAAAAAAAAAAAAAGAAGACAGTATTTATAACAAATAAAATTAACTACATTTTCTGATAAATTCCAGGTGCTGCTACACTCTAACCAAATCTTAGAAAGTTAAAACAAACGAGTAAGGGAGAAAATCAGAAACAATTATATTGTTTTGTCTTTCACTAAATCATTTTAAATAACATGTGAGCAAGTGCTTCTCTAAACTTGATTTTTGAAAAAAAGTTCTTCCACAGCCACCACAGGTCAGCTTGGAGGAAGCAGCGTGGGAATTGAGATGTCGTTCAAGAGAATTGATGGTCACGTAACTCTTACAACAAACATCGCACTTGTACATTTTCTTTTTGTGCAAACTGATATGTTGCTGGAGTGCCAGCTTACTGCAAAATCCCTTCTGGCATATTAAACACTCATAAAACATTCGCCCTTTCCCGGATCGTTTCTTCTGATCACGTTGGGGAATGGTCTTCAACAGTTTCGAACCAACAACTGTAAAACAAGACAGTACCCATTTTCCTTTTCAGAAGAAAATGACCAAGAAAAAATTTTTTTTAAAGTCTTCTCAACATTGTAGTATATTTCTTGTCTCACAGAAATAATACAGAAAATATTATACATTAATCCAATGATTTCAAAATAGTTTTGTTTAGATAACTTTAAATTTTACCAATTATCATCACTGAAAGATTCAAAATTGATTAATATTTTATTTTTCTAAAACAAGGCTTAAATATTTTCTTTCCCTCTCTAGCACTCAAAAATTGGTAAAAATTTATACGCATAAGCTTAACTTAAAAGGAATTCCTCTGTATTCCTTTTATTGTGAGATATTGTTGTTTGATCTTTTATAGATATTTAACACGTTCGCTGCCACCGGTAGTACTAACAATTACAACTAAAAGTTGATTGTGATCCACTGGTGGGGCACACGGCAACAAACGTGTTGACAAATAACAAACAGAGATGACCAGGAAAAACGTTTCCAAATAAACATAACATTTTCCCAAGATTGAGAACCCATCTTAAAACTTTTACTCAGTATTTTATTCTCTAAAAGTTAACTCCTGCTGAATGTACATATAAATTCTGAAATCTCCTTTAAATATGGAAGAAATGGAAACTTGTGTTTTAGTTGAAATATAGAAAAGATAAGAAAAAAAGGCAGTATACTACTACATTACATATAAAATAAAAGCATCTAAGCAGGATGACATTAGAAACAAAGTCTAGACTTAAAACATTATTTATAATTCAAAACAAATTATGAATGCATGAATATAAGAACCACATTACGTTAGCAAGATTAGAAACCATCAAGCTTTATTTTCTATCTAAAATTCTAGTGGTACAATTACAGAATACTTGTACAAGAACCTTTCAGAAAATTCACAGTTTTTACAATAAGGATTAGATTAATTATGCTTAATGTAAAGAAAGCAATAATAATTTTATGTTTAACAGCTTTTAAGTTATTTTAAATCTTAACCACAATTCCAAAATGTAGCTGAATTAAGAAAAAATACTTTGAAATAATTTTGTATATGGTTAAGTCGGTTATTTTTTCCAATAAATACTGCTGAATCATGAGGTCCTAGCATACAACATTTAATGTATAAATGGGAAAAATACAATATAACTAGATGTATCTTTCTTATGCCAGTCATAAAAATACATGTAGGAAAATTATTTCTCTGTAATTAACCTCCAATATGTTATGTATCAAAGACAATCTTCCAAGCTTTTCATAACCTATATAATAAAACGTCTATCCATCTTGTATTCCTAACCTACCGAACATCACCCTTCTACCCTTAACCTTGCAGTATCCAATCACCATTAATATTCCACTCTTTTATCACAGAATGTGGTTTACAGTTGATGTTTTTTAGCAGGCTAAATGTGATACAGAACGTGTATTGAATAATACATTATATCAATCCTTTATATGTATCTTTTTATAAGAAAATTTTGTAAGGAGCTTAACACGATGATGAAGTGATGTCTTCTTAACTCCAAAAATAGATGATGCTTGTTGAAATGATTTTCTTCCTACAATGACAGCATCCACTGCTTTCTTCATCTGTTCTTCAGTCCACGTGCGCCTCGAATTGCACTTTGGGAGCATGAAGGCTGACAAAATAAAACCATCCACAGTACTCAATTAATTTTCTGTCTCCACTGAAATTAAAAGATACAAGCATATGTATATACTAAATTCTATCTATATTATTCTGTATTTCAATTTACTTCTAAAATTATTTTCACTTAATATATATATGCAAGTTTACTCCCTTTACTTCTACATCAGGATTTTTTCTGTATCTGCCCCACCTCTACTTTCTGTATGTTACTATGCATGTAGTAATAAGTGATATTTTGTTTAATAAGGTGAGAAAAGCATTATTTAATTTTGTGTAAATTTACAAAAGAATATTACTGTACTCGTTTTTCACGCAAAGACAGTGATGGGCTAAAGAGTAATTGTGTAAACAAAGCAGTCTCTCATAATTTGTTTAATGCCAATACTTGCACCAATAGTTTGTACATATCCAAAAAGTAATTCCCATTTGGTCCTATTGTTTAAATAGAATGATTTTAATAGATTTTTAGATAGCTACATTATTTTAGAAAAGGAATAAAAAATGGTATGATTAACAAAATACCTCAAATGTGTAAACTGTTATAGATTCTGAATACTGTCTACTCTTTCACACTTTGTCATAAATACTAAGTTTTAGGACCTTTTTGTCCCAAATATATCTTATTCCTTCTTCAGACTCCAATGTCGCATCTACTGCTTGCTGTTACTTTAGCTCCTATCGTCCCAAGTATTTCTATCATTTAGCTCCTACTGTCCCAAGTATTTCTATCATTTAGCTCCTACTGTCCCAAGTATTTCTAACAATCTTTTAGATCCTGCTGTCCCAAGTATTTCTAACAATCTTTTAGATCCTGCTGTCCCAAGTATTTCTAACAGTCCTTTATATCCTGCTGTCCCAAGTATTTCTAACAGTCCTTTAGATCCTAATGTCCCAAATATTTCTAACAATACTCTAGATCCTAATGTCCCAAATATTTCTAACAGTACTCTAGATCCTGCTGTCCCAAGTATTTCTAACAGTCCTTTAGATCCTACTGTTCCAAGTATTTCAAACAATCTTTTAGATCCTGCTGACCCAAGTATTTGTCATTTAGCTCCTACTGTCCCAAGTATTTCCAATAATTTTTTAGATCCTGCTGTTCTAAGTATTTATAATTTTTAAATACCTATTGTCCCATGCACTTCCTACTAATCCTCCATATTCTATTGTCCCAAGTATTTCTCATAAATCTTTAGATCCTCTTGTCCTAAGTAATCACCAGATAATTTATAATAATAGTGTAATGTCAATAGTTTTGTGAGAGTAGTTTTTAATTTAAAATGTTATTGTAGACTTTCAAAATAACAACAAAAAACCTAAGTAGGGTAGATTAAAAAAAAGTTCTCAATTGTTGTATTACACTAACATCTCATTTTTACAACTAGAGTTATTTAAAAATACATTAGTAACATGTACAACAAGTAAATCAAGTTTCTCAGCTGCACCTATCAACTCCATGTTGCTTTGTGTACCTTACATGAAAATGTGCACGCACTTCACTTCAACAGATGTAAATATACTTTAGTAGACATTTTGTACAACATATTAAAAGCTTATCAAAGTTTTTAGAAAGGTTAACGTTAGGTCGTACAATAACATTACAAGTTTATTTACTTATTTATAATATTAAGTATGATAAATGTACAAAAGTTAGTGGTAACTTATCTCTTTATTGAATATAAGATGTACTTAATAAAGGCTTAACTAATATTAGGCCTAAGACCAGTACACTTACATATTTTGGTGTGTGTGATTAGAATTCTTTTGTATTAATTTTGAAATCCTGTATTTCAAGAAGTACTGTTGCAATAAAGATACTAATTTGACCACAAATGTTTTGTGGGTCTCTGCCAGTCAATGTTTATTAAGCCATATAGTAAGTCATCTTCACGGTGTTCAAACACCCTTAAATACCAAGTTACATAGCTAGTAGAGAATAATAAAAAACAAGAGACAGATATAAAATGTCAGTAAGTTTACTTAGCACGGTTAAAAGTTTTTTTTACAGATTTAAGATATATCACTTAACATTGTATAAACTTAACTGTACGTGTTAATTAAAAACATTGTTATTTTTGGGTGTTTTAATTTAGATTAGGAGCTTTTACACTTCATAAAATGTGATGAACGTCTGATTTCTGGCAGAATAAGTCAGTTCAAAGACTTTTTCCAACATTTCACTTGAACTGATTTACATCACAAAATATCTTTTAAAAGCAAGTTGAACTACTTTCTTCACTCACAGGTGAATGTGCAACACACACACAAAGAAGACTTAGCACACTCGCATAAAAATGTATGTCAATATAACAGCCAATCAGATGTAAGTATGAATTAAATCTAATTTTACTGCTATTATAAACTAAAAAAAACAAAAAAAAATTATACTGACATCTTAATTTATTCAAAGAAAATGACAAGTAAGCTATTTGCATTTTACACACCTATAATTATTTTTCAACCCAAGATACAAGTATATTTGTATAATATGGCTATACAAAAAATATATGCTGTCAAATGAAATATTTTAAATTTTATGTTTCATAATAATATTCAAATTAGTCTGACTTTAAAAAACAATATTAAAAATTCAGATGAATCAAAAACAACCTGCAGGTTTTGTATTATACAGAAAATAAATTTGGAGTATCCAGTCATATGACACCAAAATGTCTACATCTACTGGTAACAGCCTGGTTGCTTTAATTAAATTACATCGACATTTCAATGAACCAAATCTGAGAAAACAGTACATGTGTACAAACAAATTTAATAGGAAAAACTGTAATCCTTATGGATGAATTATAATAAAAATAACCTAAAACATCAAACCACCTTCAAGAGTATATCATAGTCCACACACTTTCGTCAAGTATAAGTAACTGTACTTTCAAACATACATCGTGTTTTTTTTTATTTAGTTCACTTTCTAACAGGGAATAAAGTTTAGGCCACTTACTTATATAAGAGCACGAACACTACATCATATAATATCATACACACGACTCACCTAGTACAAGATACTTTCTGTTGATGCTGAACTATGTTGATGTTTAATGTAGAAGTAAAACATAAGTCACACCACCTTGGGTCAAATTTTGTTGTTAGAACAAAATCTATCACAAACAGCCTTTAACTTAGCTACTTGGATTTTTTCTCTATGTGTCTGGATTTCACTTTAAAATAATGATGTCTAAACCTGTAGAAATTTTGATAAAGTGCCTGTCTCAGATCTTATAATTACTCATTCTGAAAGTAAGGATTGGAAACACTTTTTCTCATGATTATTTTTAGCAGTTCAAAACAATAATGAAATAAAAAAACAATTGTTTCACTAATCAAGTAAATTTAAAAATATCATTGTGACTGACTTTCATCCTGTCTTGGTTCTTACTCACATAGAATACTGAGCCACAAAGTCAATGTTACTTGGACCCTCATGTTGGTTGAAAGTTTGTTCTGTATTTATAACTCAATAGGAGTGTTAAATGAGTGCTCCATATAATGCATGTGACAAGCTTTCAGTCACATTTACAATATTAATATTATAGATGACTAAAAAACTGTAGGGTAAAAAAGTTAAGGTATTTTCAATTTATTAAAAAAACAACCACATACCTTAAACATAACAACTTAAAATCTAGACTACTATTTTGGCCAGGACAAACAAAATGAAAAATACATGCTGACAAAAATATAAAAAAAGGAGGGAGAAAAAAGGAAATATTTTTGAGTTTATCAACAAGTTGGGGTATGCAGATACAAAGAACAAAAAAATGAAATTTACAGATAAGTAAAAATGGTCTTAGCTTTGGGAAAAGCGTTCTCCTTTTCTTTTGGAACAGAAAGTATACAAGAGTGAGAACATAGAGCTTATAAAATAATAACAATAATTTCATCATAATAGATAAAAAGAACATCAGAATATGTAAACACAACAATAAACACTGAGGTAGATTATGCCTGAGCATTAAGACAAAACTTGTTACAAACTTGCAAATAGTAAACAGTGCTATTTCAATTGATTAATAGTATTCATCATTCTTAAAACTGTGTTGGAGAGAAAAGTAGCTTCAAAGTTGTAAATGGTTATTATTTTTATTACCATCATGACACAATAAAAAAACAGTAATTATGTAAAAAAGAAAAGTGAACATTCAAAATGAAACAGGCACTAATATGTATAATAAGTAAAATGTTTCTTTATATACCTACTGTAGTCCATTACAAACCACTTCAAAGAATAAAGACAGATTAATATCACTTGTTGTTTTCATCTAAGTGTATGAAATTTAAAATCTCATGCGTAATTTATGGTCCTTTTTCATATGTGAACTTAATGTGGTTTTCCATGAAAACACCTTCTGGCACAAGTGACATCTATAGTTCTTTCGCTGCACAAAATGAATTTCGACGTGTCTTCTCAGGGATGAAGCATTAAAAAACGTTTTCCTGCAATGAGGGCACTGTGTAGAGTTTCTTCCTTCTTCCAAGCCCTCAAGAGTTTCTTCATACTCATTTTCAGACCCTGTTGGAAACAAAACACCACGACTACAGTTGCCTCAGGTCACAGATACAGTACACACTTGCAATAAAGCCACAGATGGCTGCAAATAAATAGAGCAACCTCGTTCCTCCTTTCAAAACAGATACAATTACTTTTAACATTAGTTTGTGAACACAAAATGTTAAACTTATACACACTGTTAGACCCACACTTGATAACCAATGATTGTACGACTACAGACATGCATGAAATTAGATTCCATGTGTCATTTGGAGTTTATATACATGTACACCAGTTCAGTTTCAATAATATGCAAGATATGCAGGTGTGACAAAATGGTGTATCTGGCATTTCAATATGTTCACAATTTATATTCATTTATGTAAAGTTTGTCAAAGATTAATCTTCTCTGTATTTCCATGATAGTAATACTATATCGGTTTAAGCACAACTATGTAAAATTTAATACACAGGTTTTGTATACTAGCTGCATCTATCTGGTAGTAATAATACCATACATGCAGTTTTAAAAAATTAATACATACTATCATAGCGTGGTTAATCCAGTGTATAAATTTTACTCTAAAACTCAAGAGTTTAAAAATAGTATTTCTCTTAATCAGAACTAGCAATAAAAACAACAAACACTAGGCTGACAGTATTATTTTACATAAGATATTTATTTCTTCAAAGAGTACATATACACCACAAATTCAATAGATACTGATGAAAACAAGCCATAGGAAGACACAAAAGTAAGTTAAATAGACACCTCAGACAAAATGTAACATTCCTTCAAGTGAAATATGAATGATTTTTCTATATTAAAAATTGTTAACCAGTAAAACACTTCTTAAAATCATAAATAGAAGACACTCTCGTACAAAATTTTGCAGTTCAAAATTTGTTTTGTTTTTTACTGCTGAATACATAAGATACATTTTACTTTATTCAGATATTTTGATATAATACATGATTTTCTTTTCATTACATACTACAGAATAACATTTTAGAGGGAAGGGAAAGAGGAGGAACATTTCATGCAAAACATATGAGTGTATATATTACAGTATATAACTATTTCCATCACAAAAATATTGTTTTAAATGGATTTTCAATGGGTGTTTATTTGATACTAGATTATGCCATGTCTGACATTAATCATAAAATGTACAAATGGTTATATGTGACTGGCACCAAGATTTTCTTAGTGAACTCATTACTGTTCATAGTGCATCTTTCTCAGATATGTATACATGAATATACATACATACCCACAACTACATTCCTTATGATGAGAACTCATCATTAACGAGTTGGCATAAATATTCATGCAAGTTTTAAAAATAAATTACATACCATCTACTCATTAAGTAACTAAAAGTCACAGTTTCATACATAATCAGTTTAGTACATTGATGCTGAAAGAACATTTGAAAAAATCTCTAATTCAATTAGCAGGGGTTGGTGAAAAACTTAGTTTACTGGATTATAGGATGGCAGCATGAGAAAAAGAGCTAATATTTGTTATTAATGGAGCCTGGTCAAATTGGGCTTGCATTACAAATAGTGTGTCATGGGTCAGTACATGGGCCTGCTTTTCCTTATTTACATTACTAATATTGACAAATACATTAGTAGTACTTTGCTGATGACATTAGACTTAGGTATTTCTAGCTGTATTTTGGATGTACAACAATATTCATACATAATCCCATCAGTTAACTGATGCTAAAAAACATTTGAAGAAAATTCTAATACAAGTAACAAAGATAGAATAACAAGAAATTAAGATAAGGTGACAGAAGACCACTTTCACCAACAAATAATTCAGCTCGGCCTGAGAATGTTAATGAATTTCCCTCACAGTTAAAGAACCAAAACCTATAAAATACTCGTACACATATTGATCAACAATCCACTATCAAAACATCAGAGCTAATGGTGTCTTTTAGAAAATACGACAGGTGTTCCCCAAAGTTCTGGAAATAACTTATGAACATATATTTTAGATTACATTAATGAATAGGACTGAACATCTCATGCCTTACAAATCCTTTAAAATATTGTAACTGATGTTCATCAAACATGATTGTATCAAAAGTTTTTCATCAGCTTGATCACAAAAAATAGGGAGCTTACAGAACATTAAAAAACTGAATATAAAAAATTAACTTAACAGCAAAATATGGCATGAAATTTTGATAAAGTATATGAATACTATAAGAAAAGTGTTGATGATACTTTATGAAGTAAACGAATCTTGATTTTCTGTCTTCTAATAGTTTGGTTACATCTTCAATAAATCAAAAAGCTGGCTCCTGTAAGCTATAGCTCATGAATTGCTGGCTGATAGATATGTATCAAAACAAAACATTTAAAATAAACATATTAAGGAAAAATATTCTATTTCAATGGATAACAAAAGGGTCATTTGGCTCATCACTGCAATTCAAATTTCTGTACTATGACTAATAAAGTTGTTAATAAATTTTGGTAGATGCAATTCATCCACATCGTTCTTCAAGATATAGAGACAAACAAAATGATTCACACGAGACTGTGAGATGGTGAGGGGCAAGTAACTTTTCAGCAGTACATGTAGTCACTGGAGCCACCATATAGATTTTGAACATGGTTAAAACTGATGGACAAACATCCTTCAGCACAGGATTGTTGCACACTGCTTCACAAAAATAATGTACGGAAATCTCTGATGAATCTGGAAAGTTCTTGCCGATGACACTGTGCACATGTTCAATTTCATATTTCACACAGTTCTTTGATTCTAATGGCACCAGGTCATTTTGATAAATGTCAATCATTTCATCTATATCAATTGCAGATTGCTTGCATAGAGATTTCTCTATCACTGCTAGTTTATGCAAATTGTCTATAGGATATCTCAGAAACTGATTCAACAGCAGCTGCAAACACTGATTGGAATATACTTTAAAATTCAGATTCTACAGTCTGTGCAACATATGCACCTCTGTGCAATGCAGGCTCTTCAATGCCTATAGAATTAGAAGTGGATAAAACAGATTTGTAAAACTGTGTTGCAATGCCAGCATCATTAGCATCCTGCAGACGAGAAGCCATGCCTTCAATTTTTGAGCAGACAAACTGCACTGAATCTTTAGGTGACTGTATTAGAATGGGCGCTGGCTGAATTACTGTAAACAACTTCAGACCAAAAAACACACTGAAGTTCTGTATGCTATTAATAAACCCACAAGCTTGCACACACACATTTGATGGCAATGCAGTATTACTACAAGTTTCCTCTAGCCAATCCAACCAACTGCCATATTGAGCTACAAATGACATCACAGCATTGCCTTGCAAAACCCAGCGTGCTGGACACATATTGTAAAGTGGCATAAAATTGTAGCTATTACGCCATATTTTAATAGTATATAAGTTTTAAGTTCTTAATTTTACAAAGCAATAGTTAACAAAATCCTGAACCTCCCCTAGTGTGAGAATTGTGATATTGTTTTTTTTAACTATCCCCTCTTCTCTAATTTAGTAACCACCCCTCCAATAAGTATGAAATTTAACATAAATTACTCACTATAATATCATCATCACTTGGAAAAAGCAAATTTGTATTAGCTTTCAATCTTGTTTGGTTACAGAGCCATCAGAGAGAAAATCAGACCGCCCTCCTGCCACATCCTCCCTTTCAGGATTTGTCAGTAGTTTTATCTTACATTTACGACTATATTTGTTATAACTAACAGTAAGCCAAGGTTTTCATCTATCAAATCACACATTATATTACATTGTTTTCTGCACAAAGAAATGTAAATTACTTTCTGAGAAAATGTTTTGGTTCCCACGGGAATGCTATTGAGTAGTTGGATGAAGTTCTAATGGTTCTTTTTGCAGAGATAGAAAGCCAGAAAAATTGTGACAGTTACAGGATATTGTCTGCTTTTTTGCATGTTATCATTCTATGTTCTTTGTTGCATTATTTTATTAAATATAAATTTAGTGCACAACTACCAAAGTTTGTGAAGATACACTTAATATATTAAAAGTTTGTAGTATCTAAACTATAACAAGTACAAAGTGGTCACATGGTTGGTCAAATCAACAAATGAGGATATGCATGTCAATAAATCACCAATATTCAAAACGACATTCTATTCCATTACATGATTCATACACAATGTATATGCTAATTACTGAATGCATAATAAAGTGTTTACAAATACTTCATGATAATCATTTTGCCATTCATTCCATTTATTAGCACTACATTACATTTGCAACTGATTGTGTTTATATAGCATTGGTAACTAAACGTCACAGCTCAAAGAAATAATCCATTAAACTGTCAAACCTATATTATGCAAATAATATAATTGTCTTTAAAAATGTGTAGTGCACAATGGAGGGATTCATACATTTTGATAAAAAGTTTATAAAAAACGACCATTACACTCCATATATATATATATATATATATATAAAATATTTTTTATTTTAACCAATGTTTTGTCTTTGCAGCTTCATCAGAGTTAATATAGACAACTGTATATTAACCCTGATGAAGCCACAAAGGCAAAAGGTTGGTTACAATATATATATATATATATCTCTAGAGTGTCAAGGTCATTTTTTCTAAACTTTTTAGCAAATATTATGAATTAAATGATTACAGATGGTATTATTCTAACTGCTTTTTGTTGATTACTCTGTATGATTATGTGGTATAGAAATATAAATGCAGATGATCCAAAACATTAGTCAATAATAATGATTTACACTTCATTTTCTGCAAAAGCTGTTTAAATTCTACAAAATTTACTTAAAGCATAGGAAACAAATATTATGTTTGAGTCTTCTATAAATGTGCCCGGACATATGTAATTGTCTGAATGTTTAGTGAAATATAAGTTGTGTTTAAAAAATCACTTTCATATTTGAAATTAAAACTGTCTGTTTAAAGAAAGTTTATTCAAATTGAAATAATCAAATAATAAACCTAGAAAATTTTTTAAAAGAAATATCAGTAGTTGTGCATCGTCTTGGGCAATAGATAATGTTAAGTTTGCACACTAAAGGTTAGTGTTCAGCTAATCTTAAACCAAAAGTTACTCAGGAAAAAATATTTAAAATGTTATCATGAACTAGACTACCCAGGCACAGATAAATAGTATAAAGAAATTTTTGAGGTTAAACTTGCTGCCCCCCCCCCCCCCCCACTGTTTAGAAAAAGCTTGGCAACTATGAGAAGGGAATGTTCGATGTCCAGATTAAGAGTAACATATGTCATGCTCTGTTGTAGCCTACAGAGTATACAATTCTTCTTGTAATTCATAGCATGTGCATGTTTAACTGATGTCATGGCAGTACAAATTGCAATGTTAAGCATCCCTTCTGTGACATCATTTTAGGGTCTAGTGACTGACAGAAAACACTACTGTATTGTGGTGCAAGTGGTTAAAAGAGGTGACCGCCTCCAGGTGGCCTTTGACCTCCTTTTGGGGAAATAACTGGACATGTTAATTTACAAGTCAATAATTTAGTCATGCATATTTTTATATCAGGCTTACGATGGATTAACTTATCACTGGTACACTGCTTATCTTTCTTATAAAATGTCAGTGCCATGAGATATTTAATGATTTAAAAGAAAAGATAAGCTTGCATTTTTGTAAATTTCAATAACTAAATACAGAATTGTATTTTATATCTTGTGCAAGTATAATTACACTAGTCCTGGCTTAGTACCTATGTAATTCACAGTAGCTCAAATTGTTGATTTTCCAGTCCCAAGCATCAGACTAGTGAATTTCTACACCTCTGAAAAGCACCACTCATTATGCTAATCTTTAATCAGAGAAGTAGCAAGTTGCTTGTATTAATTTAGCTTATTAAAGTTTATTATATTTTACAATTGGAAGTGCTACTGATATGAAGTTATTTGATTAGTGGTATACTGAAGATGACAAAAAAAAAGGAGAAAATGTATTTACCTCCATATCTTTACAGCATACAGCCTGTAACAACCACCTTGTTCTGCCATACACTTTGACTCACCAATTTGATTGATCTTCTCAGGCCTACCTATATTTTCACTTGCAAGTTTGTATGAAAATACATAATTTCATGATATACATGTATCAACTTTCTTCTGTTATATGCTGAAAACAAAATTTAATTATAAGTTAATACATGGACAATAAAAGACCATCTGGTTCTTCAAGGTTTTTCTAGGAAACCCATCACTGGGAAAAAACTTCTCAAGAAATCATTGATACCTCTTTAATTTTAAATGATTCAGACCTCTACTACTAGCACTAGTAATAACATTAGTAACAGGTACTTATACCACGGCATAAGCTAAATATCCTGCCAAAAATATATGACTGTCTTAAGTGGAATATAGCCTGTCTTTTTCAGTAATTTCACATCTTATACTTATGTCTACAAGTTCTAGTTTCTTCAGAATACAGCAAAAGAAATCAAGAGGCCTTTAGACTTTAGTATATCAACACCCATATAATCTTGTAAATATTTATAAATTCATTTCCTGGTCCTAGCCTTATTTTCTCAGAAGAAAACAAGAGATCGTAGCTTTTACTCACTTTTAGATAAACCTTCCATTCACTGATGATTTAGTGAAAAGATAAATACTAGTAGTAGTACTAGTGTTACCTTTAAAAAGCTTAATTTTAAAGGATAGGATTACTACTGAATTATCACTCACATCAGTTTATTGAAGATATTCAAAACTTTAGTTAAATTTTCCAAAAATTTTGTTTACGTTAGTAAAGAAATAGCACCGACAATGATAACATGATTAAGACTTGACATCGTCAAGTGTTAATGTTACTGTACAAGTACAAAGACCTTGTGGCGAGGCTGAGGTTAGGCCTAACATTAGTGAAGTCACTGTATTAGTTAGGCTTAGTCCTTTGACTACAACTTTTTTTTTCGAATAGCCTGTTAACTTAAAATCAGTTACTTGTTAGGCCTGATTTTGCCGTTAAACACGAGTATCTTAATTTTTACTTTAGAATTTTGTTTGTTTGATAAATTAAATTAAGTGTAATTTTGTTTTTGCTGAAAGTTACCATGAAAATATTTACAATTTCCTACCAGTATTTTTCGATGTTCTTCTGTTTACTTTAAAGCACAAATTTGAGAAAATATAACAAATCAACGTAAGACTAACAAAATCACGTGATGACTATATATATCCGGCAGGGGCAAAAAAAAATTGTTTCGTGTTTTTACATATAAATATGAAATAAAGCACTTAAAAACAGTGTCGTATTTAATTCCTAATAAGGTCACTTACTGCACATAATTGCATTGAGACTAATAAATTGTGTTTTTTGTTCAAATTTATTTTATTCTTACTGTATATTTTTGTTATTGGCAGTGTTGATAGTGTCAGTATTCTAATATCATTATCATTTTGCACTTGCACTCTCGACAATTATATTGTTCTTTCGATTATTGGATTATCACAAACTAACTTGGTTTGTAGTGTGGTAAAGTCCAATTTATTTTACTTAATAATATGACCAAACATAATGTTGGACTGCATATTCTTTAGAATATTTCATTTCAGTTTTAGTTAGTTTATTAGAGAGCTGGCGGATTCCATTTATGTATAAAAGGGTTATTAAGGTATCAAATAATTTATGTTTGAAATTAAATTGTCAATGTTAAAATCATTTCTGGTTTGAAATTCATAATCCAGTAATTATTTTCACGAGCTACGATAGTAATAATTTTCAGTCAAATATAACGGTTGGTGTAAAATGTCTTTTTGCTTTACCGGTCTTATAAAGGAACGTTTAGAAATGGGTCTCACGCAAAAATAGCTGGTTTTTATCATTTTTAAGTAGTACGTAGCAGTTAATAAGGAAAACAACCAATTTTGTAATGACTAATTCGGGACCAGAAATTAATTATTATGATCATAAAAGAAAAGAAAACTCACATGAAATGAAACCCTCTCGAGAATATTGTTAAAGCCAAAAAACTCTACAAAGTTTTTACTTTTTTCCAACTATACTTTCATATCCTAACTCTACTTTTATTTTTACAGAATAAAAAATATAAACTTTACAGAAAAGCTAAAGTATGACAACCTATATTATGACTAAAACTGTATTGTCACTTTCTTTTTAATACGCTATTTCGTTTTAGCCCAGTAGAGGGTTACGCTCTCTCTTCGATCAACAGATAGAAACCTTAATCTAAAGTTATAAAAAACAAAAGCGATGGCTAAGAGGGTATGGTCAAATATCGTAATCTGTAGTGTGAAGTAAATGAAAAGAAAAGAGAAATGGACCTGGAGCAAGGGAAAATGTAAGAGGAATTTATTTACATATTTCAATAACAGTGATATGTTTGGGTGATTGCTTTTTTGTTTGTTTGTTGTTGTTTTGGAGGGGTAGAAGTTGCAGTCATGAAAGTCTAGGTAGATTATGAAACTGGATAAGCAGAAGTGGGTTGATGAAACGTAAGGGTAATCTCATAATTAGGATCGTCTGTAATTTTGTGTAAAAAAGTACTAAATAATATGATCGAAGATAGGGTACTGCCCCAAAAGAAAATATTTGTTAATGTTACAGCCTGATTTACAGCTATGTTACGTATCTGCTTGTTTGTTTGTTTTGAGTAGAAATTCTTTCCGAGGAGCTTCAGTAATACAAGTCCTTTCTTGATTAAACCAGTTTATTCTTCCACGATACAAACTTTCAGTACACAGTAGTTCCACAATCAGTACGTTTACGAGCACTTTAAACTTAACAATTTTTTTAATACACGCTATAAATCACAGCGCTTCACAATCTCAATAACTTCGCTCTCGACGAGTGAAAAACGCACACTTTACGGCTCACTAGCTCGAAACTAACAGAATCATAAATTACACGGAACTCAAAGTAACTACTGCTTATATACTAACGAAGAGGGTACCTCGAACACACCCGGACTTCCCCGATCATTCGAGAAACTCATCATGCACGCCACCAGCGCTAATGCGCCACCAGAGTCACGTGACTTCCGCTGTCGTAACAGCTACTTTCGCTAACAGAGCGTTAGTGAATGATTATATTACACATTTATTCTCACAAAACGTTAAATTGAAAATAGAATCTGTGACGCAAAGGCCTAATACTCCATCCTCTGCTGTGGTGTACAGTTTCTCTTTGCTTCAGCAAACCAAAGAAATTAAAACAGTTGGTCCTATATAATATCGAATAATAAACTAGGCGCAATTTCCATAATATTACTCACACATCTAAAGTAATTTAGGTTACTGTACAATGAGTTAAAAAGGACTCAAACATTTCATAAATGTTACTAAATGATGATTTTCAGCTGTTTCACAACGGATAAAGTACGCAATAAATAGAAATCTCCTTAATTATACTTGTAATAATATATTATTAGGTCTATTATATTTCCAACACTATATTCCTTATTCAATCCCATAGTGTTTCAAGAAGAAGAAATAAAGAAATATACTTAATTTGATTCAGAGGCGTCGGAACCGCACCCCTCTTTTATATAATTGACTTATATAGCAACTATAAGTTATATTATTAATTTAATTTTCTGGGGGACATGCCCCCAGACCCCCTTAGATTGAGCTGTTTTTGGCAGCACGGGGGCCACTGCATGTGTTTTGTTCAATTTACGTGTTTATTATCTTTTAATCCGTTTTCGTCTTTACTAGATGGCGCTAGGAACAGAATTTCGAAGCGAGATGCGATTTTAAGGTTAACCATGTGACGAGCTAAATGATAAACTCAATAGATGTCACATGTAAAGTACTTTTTAATTACTCAAACTATCGAGCTTCCATTCATGGAAAGCTGAAAACATGTCAAGCATAGAACTGAATATTAATATGTCTTGAAAAAAAATACTAATAACTTCTCGTTAGGTTTCCATATGTCATATAATAATTATTACAAATACATGTAACATACAGATCACTACTGTTAATTGGGTTACTTATAAATGAATAAATCTTACTTTTGATTTAGAAGTGAAGAAAACAAAACATTTCGTGTCAATTCTGGTTATTATTTTAAGTGTTATGTTTTATTTACAGAATGAAGATGCTCTACAATATAATTAGTAAAATATACCACTTCTATAATTGTTCAATCTGTATGTCCAATCTTTGTGTTTATTAAAAGTAACAATGATTAGTATTTATTAACTGTGACATGTTTTGAATGTGTTAGAAAATTCTTATAATGTAGCAAAACTTTAACAATTTTATTTCAGAACTTGTGACTGTGTATAACATACCATGGGTTATCAGATTCCTAGTGTGAAAAACTGGGACTTTTTTTTTTTCATACGGAGTGACACTGTAACAGAACCGAAACACTCTACAGTTTAAATTACAATAATACTTTTTACCACTTGCTAAATATTATGATGCTTATTTCATTGCATTTTCAAACCATAGACAAACAAACTTTGTTAAAAGTTTATATAATTAAAAAGATAATAAATTTAATAAAAATGCGCCTAAGTTGTCTTGAACCTACTCAAAAGAAAAAATGTTTCTCTATCGTTTTCTGTTTCGCCGCTGAGCAGGTCTTCAAATCTCAATTCCTATGCTACTCAATGGCAGGTTAGGTTAAGAAAACGCATCATAGAGGGATGGAACACTGTATTGTTGGATCTGTCTTTGCCTTGTGATTCTCATAGTGAAATATAAAGGAGCCGTATATAATGACAAGCTGTAAACATTGTTATAAGCCATATTTTGAATGTTGTAATTTAGATGTTATCTAGAGGGTGCATCACATTAAGACCAAATTTGTCCTAGAATATCAGGAATATTAATGAACGAGACGATTTGCAAAATATTTAGAACAAGGATTAGGTTATAAATACGAATGACTCAGTCAATTGGCTAAATAAGCTGGCAGTAAAGCACTAAGAAGATAAGAGTCATCTTCTAGCCAGTAGAGTGAATCAGTCAGTGTGTTTACTTTTTTTGGATCTGTGCTAGCTATCGCACATGTTGAGTTACTTGGCCTCTCCAGTGCCTCAGCCGCAAGTCTGAAGGCTTATAATGTTAAAAACAGGATCTCGATACCCGTTGTAGGCATAGCACAGAAAGTCCATTGTGTAGCTTTGCGCTTAACAGCAAACAAACAAGTTACAAAGTATACAAGCCTGTAAAAAAGCGTTAAGGAGGAAATAAAATTAATTTGTTATTATTAATTGGACTGGACTTTGAATTATTTTCATAAGATAATTTAAAAGAACTCACTGAAAAAACAACAATATGAAACTCACATTGAGCCTGTGACAATTTAATACTTTTACTCTTCTGATCGGCACATAAAAAAAGAGGGGGGGGGCTAAAAACTGGGACTATTCCAGTTTTACCGAGACGTCTGGTAACCCAAAATATACCTAAAACGGATGTCGTTTACTGCAAAGATTCAACAAAACGTAATGAAATACGCGAGTCTCAATCTAGCATCTTGGAAACAGACAAACAACTGGTAATCTGATGGTGCCATATCTGGAGAATATGGTGGGTGAGGGAGAACTTCTCAACCCAACTCCATAATCTTGTGTTGCATCATACGTGCCACATGTGGATGTGCATTGTCGTGGAGAAGAAGAGCACCTTTCTGATTGACGAATGAAGGGCGTTTCTGATGAAGGACTT